GCGAATTTGGAAACCCTATTGATAACACCGGATTTTGACCATTTTTGTGGATCATTTTAATATATTTTACAGGTGTTTTTACTCCATTTTCAAAGGTTTTCAAAGGATTTCTATGTTTCCGGGTTTTAAAAGACTTTTCAGGTAACTTGGGATAAAGAGGCATAAAATGGAACAAAAAGACTCTTTTGGATAAATGCAGACCGTCAGAACTCTCATGGAGAGACGAAGACCTTCTCACCGTCTGATCACCCTCAAAATTGGACAACTTATAGAAGAATCAACCAGCTTTTGCACTTGGTTTGGAGACATTCCAACGGTTGGATCTCAAGATATTTCATTAGCCCCGGAGCCACTCGAAGTCGGCCAGTAGCTCACACGACCGCGGCCAACAAGCTATTTGCCGCGGTCAGAAGCTTCCCGACCGCGGCCAACAAGCCAATTGCCGCGGTCACAACACTCCCGACCGCGGCATTCAAGCTCCGACTTAAAGCCCACTTATCTGAAGCCCAAAGTCATTCCCAGCCTCAATTCCGGAACCCTAGAGACCATGGAGTATTGGAGACTATAAATACATGTCATTTAGGTCGTTTTTAGAGAGAGCCATTCATACTTTACAGAAACCCTTTTCCTTTAGCCGTTTTTATGAGATTTTTGTAGAAGATTGTTCAAGTCCGAGTTCTTCAATAGAGAAGCTTTCTTTATATCTTTTCTTTACTGTTTTTCATTACTTTTATTAAAACCAATGATGATGTCGAACTCAGCCATGTCTGAGTAGATCCCGAGTTGGGCTTAGGGTTCCCGCAAGGGGCTCTCATAATCGATTAAGACATCTAGGTTTATAGATCTGGGATTTCGACCTTTTCTCTGTTTATTCTTGTTCTTGTTGCATGTATGCTTGATTGATCACCTAGTGTCTGATCTAGATAGTTAGTGTTGCAAAAGTTTTCATTAAGTATCAGCCCTAGAATGAAACAGGCGATTTTTCCGTAGGAGTGGAAACCTACCTGCGGCGAGATCGTGAGTATTGACGAGTCTTGTGCAGCTCTTGCGTTCTCTCCCTTCCAGGGCCAGAGTGGAAACCTACTGGTCAGGGTTGCGAGAAACAGTTGGTTATGATCACGACAGTGACGTAGTCATACCGCCGTACTCTAGCTCTAGAACCCATATATTGTTATCCGTCAATCCCAATCTATCTACCTTAGTGTTAAAACCGATTATGATCCCTTAGAGTTCCTAAAAGCTCAGCGTTTTTAGCCATAGTTTACAATTCCATCGATTCTTACTTGCTTTCTTAGACCTGCATTTCAATTTCCTTAGTTCGTTATTTACTTGCTTTATTTACCTTTCATACGATATTTTACTTGCCTTATTTTTGTTTAGTTCGATATTTTACTTATTCCATTTACATTTCATTCGATTTTCTTTACTTGCTTTAAATTTTAGGATAGATTTATTTGCTTTCTTTTGTTTTAGTTTAATTCGCAAGAAAAACAACCAACCTTTAAAACCAATTTAGTCTAGACATAAAGTTAAAACCCGTAGAAGAATACCAGGCACACAAATCTCTGTGGATTCGATCCCTAAATACTACAACTGATTAGTTGTGCACTTGCGGCTTTCATTTGTTTTGTTAAGGGTAAAACTTGTTCCCTCACGTAGCGAGCACGCATCACCTATTCTGTCAAAATTCCACAAAAAATTATGAAGAAGACATGAAAGTTTGTAGAATGAAGGAGGGAAAAAACGCTAAGTTGAGGAGAAGTAGCAAAAATTGTGACTGTTATCGCAATGGAATATATACAGGTTCGTCGACACAATTTTTTCCTCAACCCCTCACAGTGGGTTTCAAACCGAGATCATTTTTGGGTAGGTATATGGGAAACCAGTAATGCTAGAGTGGAAATCGATATATAGGTAAAGCTAAAAGTATTTAATGTTAGTTCGACTGCGGGAAAAAAAAAAAAGAAACCCCTCACAGGGTGGGTTTCGAATCGAAATCATTTTGTTGGGTTGGGAAACCAGTAATGCTAGAGAGGAAATCGATATATAAATAAAGGTAAAAGTATATAATGTTAGTTCGACTGCGAATTTTTTTTTTTTTAAAAAGGAACCCCTCATATGGTGGGGTTCGAACCCAGATCATATTATTGGATATGTGTAATGGAAACCAGTAATGCTAGAGTGGAAGTCATAAATATATTAATAAATTAAGTAATGAAAACTACCAAAAATCTCATACAAAACACAGAATGAAGGTTATTGTATGTGTCAGTCTATTTTTCAATCAAAATAAGTTATTAACAAGAGCTACCTTGTAAATGATGTAATTGGCAAGTCGCTCCACTAACTTTTTTGTTTCAACGCAATATATATCTCCAAAAAATAGTCTGCAAAAGATGCTTAAAAGACATTAGAACCACAGAAAATGGTCACAACTCACAAGAAATTTCCCAAAATAATTAAAAAAATCAGTAAGCCTCTGCACATTACTATGGTAACGAACACAGCAAGAAGTCGTATTTTCTTGAGTTTCTTTCATGCAAGACATTCAATTAGCAGAGTTTGACTCTTACAAATTAAGAACACTTGCTTCCTACGCAGTTTATTCCCACTTGTAAGCAAACTAATAACTGTAAATTGGACTCTTTCCAACAGAAGAGAAATCAGTAGTGATGGATCGGTCGATATTTTGAGAGCATTAGAATAGTTCGCAAAGCAGCAAGTAGCAAGTAAAACCATTAACAATAAGAGTAACAATTAATGAGACACCTATGTAGCAGTGACTAATGTAGATTAGAAGGCAAAAAAAATGCTCAGTCTAAAAACTAAGAGGAAGTTTCATATCTATTAATCTAAGAAAGTTTGAAAGTCAACTCTCATCGATTTGGAGAAAGCCTACAATGACATAGAGTATATGAAATCTAAATAATAGAAGTGGGTACCTTTTCCTCTGCAGAATCATTACAGTCGGACTAGCCAAGGTTAGATTACACTTGATCAATAAATCTCTAATCACTAAAGCTAGAAACTGTAATCAATAAATCTCTTGAAGTTTTTATCTTTTATCCAGGCACTAACCCATCACTAAAGCTCAAGACTATTGATCAACTACTACACTACAAAGAACAAGTTCTTAAGATCGGTGTGATCTCATATCTACACTAGCTTTGAGCAACAAACTTCAAGTAAACCAAGTTGAAAAAACAAATAAGAATGAGAAAGACAAAAATTTCAGAAGAAACAACAACAAATCTACTTCAATCGATTGAACAGATCAATTTGGGATTACACAAACCCTAACAATTGAATCCACTGAAACAAAACCCAGAGAATTTGGAGTACGCAGACGAGATTAGAGGAGGATTCCGGTTGATTTTGACTTACCGGATTGAAAATAGAGAATAGGATCCGCCGGAGAGTACACCTAAGAAAAGAAGTTCGACGTCGACTTTTTTTTTTCTCATCGAAGAAACCTATGGTAGGAGGCGACTTCTACAAAGTCTAAGGGTAATTTTTTTTTTTACTTCTTATCTATGTTAATTTAATATATATAAATTTTGTATCATAAATTTTAATTAAAATTATAAGAATAGAAGAGGTTAAATTATTTGTAGAAGTACTAAGAGGACAAAATTTACTACATAAATAGTAAATGGACAATAGTTAAATTTATTTGTCTTATATTTTTAATTCTTTTAAAAAAAAATTATCTCCCAATAGCTTACTACAAGAATAACAAATAATGGATTATATTCATGTTTTCGAAGGATCTCTTTAAGGAAGACGAGATGGCGACACTAATATAAGGTGAAAGTTAATGCCAAAATCTATCGCCACTATCGTCAGAATTAAATGTTTTGATTTGGGCTATAGAATGTTTAATTTATCAAACCAATAACTCAAAATTAGCAAAGAGGACATCGTTTTCTTAAAATTGCCTTCATGGTACACAAAATTAAATTTCTTCTTAATTAGATGATGTTTTAGCATTGTACACATAAATTAAGAAAATTTGTATAATACTAATTCTACTTTTTTTAATTGAATTTAGAGATTTTTGACTGAAAATTATATCAATAAATAAGAGTAAATAAAATCATTTTATGTTATTTTTTGTATAGATTTATGAGAACATCACTTACTAAAGAATAATTAATTCAAAACAGAAAGAGTATAAATCCTTAAAAGTTATTTTTAGTTATTTTTCTCCATTGATCATTTCCAGTTCTTTGAATTCCATACATTGTGTATAGAGTTTATCTTTTGTACATGGTATAGTTAACTGTTTTTTTTTTCAGATTAACTGAAAAAGAATGAGAAAGATAAGATAGTATAGTATGGATCAAAAATAGAACCAAAAGAGAAAATAATCAACATATTAATAGATGATTTCAGATATATCATATAAGTAAAATAGCAAGTAAATAAAAAGGACCAAATCTAATCCGAGAAAAAGAGATATAAGCAAACAAAAGAGTAGCAACGGCTACTTCGTAGTTACCAACTTATTTTGCTGTCCAATGCAACTTGCTCTACACCAAAAGTTGTGCTCTTAAAACCTTGCAATTTTTTTTTTTGAAAAAAAGTAAAATTTGCTCAATATATCTACATTTCCAGATAGCATAGTTTGCCGTGTACAATTTTTTATTTACATATATCGAATATCTACATAATTTTCAGTTCTAAGTTTCACTATTATAGTCAAATTAATCATCAAGCATATTAATAGTATTTAACAAAACCAAAAAAGATAATTATGACTCAAGTTTCTAGGTTTTGTTTCCTACTGTACCACTGTGACTAGTGACTGTGTAGCCTCTCTCTCTCTATTAGATAGATTTTAGAAGACCGTTGGATTTATTTTTGACCATTTGAAATCTCAAGATAAGATCTGAGCCGTTAATTCGACTGTTACCTCATTTTCCAACTCTCTCTCTTCTTTCTTTCGATATCACCAACAAATTTTCTAACTTTTTCTCCATGTCCTTTTTTCCTCAGAGCTTTAAACCCTATTTTCTCTACCCTCACGCAAATTTTCCCTTTCCTGTTTTGTGGTTTTTCCCTTTTATTTATTCCTCATAAAGTCGAAATCTTTTGAAACCAAAACCCATAATTATCTTTTTTGTCTTCCCTCTGTTTCTTGTCTCTTTGGGTTATCTCAGATTCTCTCCAAAAAAAAGTCCGTCTCTTTCCATGGCTCCTCATCTCCATCTTCTTCTCCCTCACTTTCTCGTTTCTCTTTTAGTTCTTACTTCAGCTTCTTCCTCTGCTCCTCCAGCTGATGAAGGTGTGTATACATGTTTTGATCTGGAATCTCTTTGTTTTTTTCAATCTTGGACCCTTTAGTTTCAGATTCATAGTTGAAACTAAGATATCTAAGTTTTGCATGTGTGAATGTTCTTCTAGAACATAAGTTACAATGTCAGTGATAGCTTAAATCTGGCTGCTCACTTAGAATAAACTAATTTTAGAACACTTGCAAAGATTTATTGGTTTTGTTTATGTATTGTTTGGCTTTATCTATCTGTTTTGATTTATTGAGTGTGCTTGAGAGAGAGTGGGTAGGTTCTGATATAAATGTCTGTATATGTTTGGCAGGTGGGCTTGTTTTTAAATTCTCACTAAGAAACAAGAATGGTGTTTTTAATGCCCCACAAAATTAATACAGGACAAATATTTTGACTAGAAAACACTTGTTTTAGTCAAGTTTATAATAAGACTCACAGTTCTGTTAAGGAATCTAAATATTGCTGCATCCCAAATATAGTTAAGGATTTAGGGTTTAAGGATTTGATATTCCTTAGGACTAACTTCAGATATGGAAAGGTTCTGATGCTTAATGGTTTCTTTGAAATGATTGAAAAGATGTGATATTTGTCTTTTCTTATAAGCAAAAAGATGTTATCTTTAAGCAGGTGCATTCATCGGAGTAAACATAGGAACTGATCTTTCAGACATGCCACATCCTACACAAGTTGTTGCTCTGCTAAAAGCTCAGCAAATTCGACATGTCCGCCTATACGACGCTGATCCTGGAATGCTTATTGCTCTAGCAAACACCAAAATCAAAGTCATAATCTCAATACCAAACGACCAGCTTCTTGGCATTGGCCAATCCAATTCAACCGCAGCTAATTGGGTCAAACGCAATGTCATTGCTCATTACCCTGCAACGACTATAACCGCCATTTCCGTTGGCTCTGAGGTACTAACAAGTCTCCCAAATGCAGCACCTATACTAGTCAATGCCATCAAGAACGTTCATTCAGCTTTGCTTTCATCAAATCTTGACCGTTTGATCAAAGTCTCTACTCCTTTATCCACTTCTTTGATCCTTGACCCTTTTCCTCCCTCACAAGCCTTCTTTAACCGCTCTTTGAACCCGGTCATAGTCCCGTTACTAAGCTTCTTGCAGTCCACAAACTCATACCTTATGATCAACGTGTATCCTTACTATGACTACATGCAATCAAACGGTGTGATTCCTCTAGACTACGCGCTCTTCAAACCGATTCCTCCTAACAAAGAAGCTGTTGATGCAAACACGCTTGTTCACTACTCAAACGCATTTGATGCAATGGTGGACGCTACGTATTTCGCAATGGCTTACTTGAACTTCACAAACATTCCGGTTTTGGTAACCGAATCAGGATGGCCATCGAAAGGAGAGAGCAATGAGCCTGATGCTACGCTAGACAATGCCAACACTTACAACAGCAATCTCATAAGACATGTTCTTAACAAGACAGGAACACCAAAACGCCCCGGGATCGCTGTGAGTACTTACATTTACGAGCTGTACAACGAAGATACAAAAGCAGGATCTTTATCAGAGAAGAGTTGGGGTTTGTTTAATGCAAATGGTGACCCTGTTTACATACTGAGGTTGACTGACTCGGGTGGTGTTCTTGCTAATGATACAACGAACCAAACTTACTGTACTGCAAGAGAAGGTGCTGATCCTAAGATGCTTCAAGCTGCTCTTGATTGGGCTTGTGGCCCTGGGAAAATTGATTGCTCGCCTATTAAGCAAGGAGAGGCTTGTTATGAACCAGATAGTGTGATTGCTCATGCTAACTATGCGTTTGATACTTATTATCATCAGACTGGGAATAATCCTGATGCTTGCGACTTCAATGGAGTTGCTAGTATCACCACCACAGATCCAAGTAAGAAAAGAAAAAAAGAAGCTTTTTTTATAACATTACATTGTGCAATGTGCAATACTACTGTTTATGGTTACCCTTTTGATAGAATTAATTAGCAACAGAAAAAATGCTTACTTTTTCTTGCTTTGTGGTTTCATTGCAGGTCATGGTTCATGTGTGTTTGCAGGAAGGTAAATCATCTTGATTCTTTATACCCCTTTTTCGGTTTGAAGTGTTGAATTTAGGTTTTGGTTCGGATTTTCGGTTAATAGTAGCGTTAGTAACCAGTATGTTTTAGCATTGGTCTGGATTCGAAGCCGTTTGTTTTCTTTACCGTCCGAGTCAAAATTGTTTATGGTTTATATCGGGTTTTGTTCGGTTTTTAAATCGGTTTATCCGGATTGAACACTCTTATTTGTGGAATCTTTACTAGTACAAGTTTTTTATTTGTAATCTTTGTTGTTCTTTTTCCGGTTGCAGCCGCGGTGATGGAAAGAACGGGACGACTGTGAACATAACGGCACCATCGGCGAATTCGACGAGCTCTGGAATAAGGAGTGATTTGTATTACAGTCGGGGAATTTGGAGCATTTTGACAGTGATTTTGAACGTTGCTTTCTTGTGAAGAAAAAATCTTAAATGTTTTTCGTTCCGGGAAGTTTTTAATCTTTTTTAGGTGGGATTGGAGTTAGAATTTGAGAGGCTGATTGTGTTTGATTCGATTTTGTACACAAGAAACAATCAAGAAAACATTTAATGGTCTTTCTTTGTTTTTAACTATAGTCTTCAGCTTCTTATAACCAAGTTCTTTATAAAACGCTGTTTTGGTTGGATATCTGCATACTCAAACTTCGAAGGAAGAAGAATTGTAACAAGATGCTGTTTTGAGAGAGTTTGGTCAAGTGGGGAGCAGAAGAAACTCTTTACTCTATTTGCTTCTGACTATATCAATTGACACCATATTTGGAACAGAACATATGGTCTTTGATCGATCGACCAAATCGAGACCATTGCGGAGTGGATTGAAGATTGAAAATGAAATAGATCCACAATCAAAGTCAAGAAACAATGGCATTACACAGAGGTGTTGAAAAAGCCACAAAAGTGGATACCTGAAATGCAATACATATGCTAGTGTCAAAGGAAGATATGAATGAGATAGATGTGGTTGGATTGTTATATGTGCTCAAGTAGTCAAGTGAATACATTACTTAGTAGATCTGCTAAGTTGCCAAAACCGTGTTATAAATTGTGGAATCGGAAGCTCGAGCTTTGCTCCATAGAATGCAGATAATCTGGTTCTAGTGCAGAGTATATGGATGAGTTGTTTTTTCAAGAAATGGTTTGCAGCTACACTAGGAAGATTGTTAATTGTTTCATAACATCTGTATTTTGTGTATATATAAGCATGTTACGTGTTCTGAAATTCATAAGATTTTAACAACCCAAAATCTAGTGCTGAATCGATTCAAAGAAAAACTGATCATCCAATAAAGAGCTTGATTCTAAAAGAAAAAACCAAATTGCTTGATTTTGTTATGTATATTTTGCATATCTTGTTGTGCACAATTTTGATAGCTCAAAAACGGTAATAGCTTTCCATTTACACCTAATCTTTTTAGATCAACAACCAAAGTGACTGTAAACAGAAACGATAAACAACTCAACGCAGAGCATCCTAACCGAAAATCAAACCAAACCAGACAGACTTTAGCAACTCGGTATTTGTCAGAGTAAGAAAAACACAGAACATAGAGAGAATGACAAAAGACAAAGGGCACGATGCAGAAATCTAAGAGATGTTCATAGCTTCAGCGTGATAGCTTTCAAGATCCTTGTCCAATTCAGCAGCCGACTTCTCCACTGGCTTCTTTCTGCCACGACCGCTTTTACTCCCTCTGCCACCACCACCGCCTTGGCCTCGGCCTCTACCACGACCACCTCTCAAACCTCCTTGTTGGTTTTGGCTGCCATTAACAGAAGAATATAGATGATAAAACCGATAAATGATTTGCCCACTTGATATGAAACCGAGCTAAGACTCTTTGGAACACTTACATTGGAAGGCGTCTCACAGAAGTAGCTGCACTTCTTCCTCTTCCTTTCCCTCTCCCACCTCTAATCCCTTGTCTGCAAGAATCATTGATCATCAATAGGTTTAATACATTTAGTTTATTCTCCTGTAAATAGATAGACCAAGAAATGGTAACAGCATACCCAATGGAAACAGTCCTCTTCATCCTCCCGTTCAATCCAGTTACATTAACACGAGCTGCAATAGGGGCAGCATTGGTATTTCCATCCTGAATCTCCAGTTTCATAGACCTTCCATCCAACAGTACATTGTTGTATCTCTTCATAGCTTGGAATGCGTCACTTCTTCTCATATACACAACTTCCGCCGAGCCCTGGAACACAGCACAACGGTAAGTAACATGTAGAACCAGAGGGAAAAATACAAGACCGAAGTTAAGGCTTGAGTTTATAACTTACATTTGGACGACCGTTTTGGTCGAAGTGAATTGCATATCTTTTCATCTCCCCAATCTCACCAAAGAGTTCCTAGATCCCATAGGAGAGTAACAAAACTAATTTAGGGACACTCTTCCCGTGGAAGCAACAAAGAACTGGAAACATTGAAGACAGACTATGTACCCTTATATCATCATTTGTCACTCCCTGATCAAGGTTGGTAACATAAACAGTGGTTCCGACTTCCATTCCTGATACACCAACGGCTCTAAGGCTATCTTCAAACAACTCATTCTGCCATGGCAAGCTCCTCTTCCTGCGGGCAAGCTATTCAGTAGAACAGATAAAGTCAGCCAAAAAGGGTCTGTAGAATCTCGAAGCCACATTAATCAACAAATTTCTTGTAAGACGAGAAACCACCAATTTGTCTGAAAGTACTAAACCAGTCAAAGCATAGATCTCCAGGAAGAACCATCGAAGGAGAAAGAAAATGAGAAATGGACGGACAACAAGCTATTTTGACCAACTTCAATACGAATCACACTGACTCTACAGTAAGTCTCTGATGCCAAAAACAAAGTCCTTGGAGAATAAAAAAACTGAGACTGCCATCACATTCCGAAGAAATTCCAGATGAAGCAAGAGGCCCATCGTGAACTTCATGCGTGGTGCAAATACACCCACTTATAGAGATAATCCATCATAGATCATTTAAACTGTTATGTGAAATTGCTGAAATTCCCCCCAAACAACATGACTGCACATATGTGCAGGCTTTTTTCCCCTACGTTGCCGAAAAGAGCAACGTCTCTAACTTTTTTCATAGTATTTTATCACACCAAATGAACCTATGTGGACTATTTAGCTTAATGGAGCTCCTCAGTAAGAGTACAGTGAGAGACAATATCAACTAAAAACGTCTTCACATCTATGCATGACTGTCGAAATCCTCAGAATTTAACCACATAAACCACTAATTACACCAAAACCGGAAGACAAGGAAGAGGCTTCTCTAACAGAATCGTCTCCATAAACTAGAAGATGTTAGAAGATCCTTGCAATCTGTGAGTATCCTCCCAGACGAAGTTTCGAATGCTAAAAGTGTGTCATCATCAGAACGATTAATGCATGAATGTGAAAAAAGCCCCTCCTTTTAGTATTAGCATGATTCAGTAATGCTTCGGTGATTGGTGTCACACCAGAAACTCAGATTTCCAATCAAACACACATAGAGCATCCCAGATATTCGAGCTTGCCTTGTTTATCGAGAAGGATGATGATGGTCGAACTTTAAGAGCGAGAGGACCTTTGCGAACAGGTCCAGCTCCTCTTCCAGCTCCGAGAAAACCATTTGCTCCACGACCACCACGGCCACGTCGGGAAATTCCTTTAGCTCCAGACCTCGCAGCGGTCTTACTTCTCTTGACAATCTCATCAAGAGTCATATTCAATGATTCTGACATCTTCAATCAAATAAAATCAAAACCCCTGCAGAAATTAAGGGGAAGAAAAACAAATATTAGCTAACACCAACACAAACGATAAAACACGAACAAGACAATCAGACACTAGTTTCGTTTCCTACGGATATAAAATTTCAAGTCTCGTATACACAGATCCAAGGACATAACGGTGAAGATTCTTATAAGAAGATCCATATAGACAATTTAAATTTCAAATCCATTGACTGATATAAAATTGACGGTAATCGACGCCTCAAAAGCCCTAAAATCAACAGATCTCGGAATATAAACAAAGCCTAGACATAGATTCTTAAGCGAACTCAAACCAGATGCATCAAGGACACAAACTCTATCACGATGAACAATTCGCAAAACAAAACAAAAAGGAGAATCGAAACTTTACCAGATTATGAACAAAAGGCAGAACGAAGAAGATCGAGAGATCGGCTAGGGTTTTTGAAAGAGATCGTAACGAGTCGTATGTGGAATTAGGGTGTTACAGAGGAAGGGGGAAAAATTCAGCTGTATTATTCACGGCCTAGGGAGAAGGTGAGGTCTTTAAATAGGTCAATGTCAACGGAGTAATTTTGTAATTAGATTTGGGTTTTTGGGGTGTTTTACGTCTTTTGATGTTTAGATATTAACGAGAAAAAGAAAAAGTTAAGGTCGGCGAGAAAAAGGAAGCTTGCCAGGTAAGGAAATTACGCGATTAGTTAATACAAAATATAAAATTAGGACTGCACTTAGCGATAATATCAAAATCACTCCCCGTTTTTCTGATTGCAATCAATCTTTATTTTATTATATGGGATAATTAGTTTTATAATGCTAATTGATATATGATTTATCCCCTTAATGTTTTTAAAAAAATATTTATCATTCTAATATTTTTTTGAAATTTTTTCCAATTATATCCATTAATTTCGAATTATTAAATTAATTAAAATATAAAATAATGTTTTTAATTAAAAAAACATAGAAAACACCCAATATTTTCACGTTCTTTTCCGATTGCCTGAAACTCGAAACCTTCTTCTTTTCTTTGACAGATCCGAAACACAATTTCCGATAGGTTATGTTTTTCTTTCTCCTCCTCTGCTAACTCGTGTTCTTCACATTATTCCCATTAAAGTTCAATTCTAGGATTTATATATTTTCAATTGATTTGGGGATTTTGTTGATTTACAGTTTTCAGCCACAAAAATCCACGTCTTATTTGTCCATAATTTTCATAAACCACAAGTGACATAGATATGTAGCATGTTTGAACCACAAGATATGTAAACTTAAAAAAAAAATTTCTGGATCGGGAAAAAGAAGAAAACGATAAAGTAAAAAAAAAACAAATACTATAATAACAAAGAAAAAACGTGAAAAACAAAAAAAAGTAAAAAGTTTTCAAAAATTTAAAAATCTGAAAATTAACTAATTTTCCTAGATTTTCTCGGAATTTGGTAGAAGTAGTATTCTACCAACACGTAAAACTTTGTCTTATAAGTAGAAGAACTGTTATACATTAATGTAGAACTTGGTCTAATAAGTAGAATTAAGATTCTATAATAACGTAAAACCTTTTCTATTTGGTAGAAGTTTTATTCTACCAACACGTAGAATATAGTCTACCTGGTATAACTTGTAATCTACCATAACATAGAATATAAAAAGAGTCGTAGAAAAAAAATTCTACAGACTAGTAGAAACTATAAATAGCTATAGAATTGGGGTTCTACGTAAAGGTAGAACGTAGAACACGCGTTCTACCATATGTAGAACAAATTTAAAAATATTTTTTAAATATTTTTTTTAAATGGGATAATAAATTTTATAATGCTAATTAATTTATGATTTGTCCCCTTAATGTTTTTGAAAAAATATTTGTTATTCTAATGTTTTTTGAAATTTTTTCCAATTATACCCATCAATTTCGAATTATTAAATTAATTAAAATATAAATTAATGTTTTTTAATTTAAAAAAAAAAACAAGTGGAAGAAACTTTCTTCTAAAACATAGGAAAGTTTTCACGTTCTTTTCCGCTTACCTGAAACTCAAAACCTTCATATCTTCTCTGACAGATCCGAAACACAATTTTCGATAGGTTATGTTCTAGGGTTTATATATTCTCAATTGATTTGGGAATTTTGTTGATTTACAGTTTTCAGCCACAAAAATCCACTTCTTATCTGTTCATGATTTTCATAAACAACAAGTGACACAGATATGTAGCATGTTTGAAGCATAAGATACGTAAACTTAAAAAAAAATATTCATGGATCAATGGGAAGAAGAAGAAAACGATAAAGTAAAACAAAAAAAGCAAACACTACAATAACAAAGAGAAAACATGAAAAAAAAATTTTCAAAAATTTAAAAATCTGAAAGTTAACTAATTTTTCTAGATTTTCTCAGAATTTGGTAGAAGTAGTATTCTACCAACACGTAAAACTTTGTCTCATAAATAGAAGAAATGTTCTACATTAATGTGAAATTTGGTCTAATAAGTAGAATTAAGATTCTATAATAACGTAAAACCTTTTCTATTTGGTAAAAGTTTTATTCTACCAACACGTAGAATATAGTCTACCCGGTATAACTTGTAATCTACCATAACATAGAATATAAAAAGAGTTGTAGAAAAAAAATTATACAGACTAGTAGAAACTATAAATAGCTATAGAATTGGGGTTTTACGTAAAGGTAGAACGTAGAACACGCGTTCTACCATATGTAGAACAAATTTAAATATTTTTTAAATATTTTTTTTTCTTTAAATGGTATCTGAAAATATTTTTCTTTCTTATTTTGGAATTAATGATTTTTATTTAAAAAAAATCGAATTGTATTTTAATTATAATTATCATAACTAATTTAGAAGGATAACTATGTCAAAAAGTGACTCAAAAATAAAAAAACATTAAAGGGACAAATTATAAATCAATTAACATTCTAAAACTAATTCTTTCTAGATAAAACATAAGACAGTTTCTATTAGTTTATATTATTATAGTGAAAAATGTCATGACATCAAATCAATAACAGAAATCAAGATATTGTAAATTATCATTATCATGCATGTGCGTTTTAGTTTTATATAATGAGATGTTTATATTTATGTTTAAAAAGCAATGAGAACAGGAGATCAAACTAACAAAATTATCATGGTAAATCTCAATTACATCTTATTTTTTCTTCTCTTATGAAACATTCGAGAATCACCAAGACAATGCTAGAGATATCACTAATGATCATACTCCTCTTGATCAAGACTTCTGGTACTGGCTTCATTGTTGACAATTCATTAATACACAAATACATATCTGTTTTTGCACTGGCGTACATGTTTAAGAGGTAGTAATCTTTGGCAGCCAAGGCTTTGAGGGCCTTATCTATATCATCAAGAGTAGCGTCATATCGTCCTTCACAAAGTTGAAATTTTTGCAAATCTGTTGTATTGCCTTCGAACAACTTTATTTGTTTGAATGCATCCGAAACATTGCGAGACTGGTAATGAGCAAAAATTTGGCTAGGCCAGGAAAATCAAATAATGCAGTTTCAGGGGTTGGTTTTAGAATCTCAAAACAAAGTGAAGGTTTGAAATCCCTATCTTTCTTTGTGCAGATGCCCTCGATCTCATCTTTTGTAACCATCGTACTAAATCTAGCATATGATGAGATCACAAAAAGAAGTAAAACCACTATATGAGCCAGAAAAAAAGTTTTTTTTGACGTATACAACCATTTTTCTTGTTCCAAATGTCTGAGAACTTATGTGAGATTTATATTGACTAAAACATATCTTCATGTATTAACTGTTGCTAAGATATTTTTTCCATTAATGGTAACAGATTATGTACCTTAATGAAATTATATAAATTAATAGAAAGCAATATGTCAACGGTCAAAGCATACATTTTTTTTCCTTTTTGGTAGTTTATTAGATACCTTCTAAAATTGCAGATTGTATTGATGTAAAAAAATAGAAAATTATTTTATATGAACGACACAAAATTTAGGGTTTGCACAAAAATTAATTTAATCAATATACTACCTAACCTACGTTAAATGAATCGCACAAAAATTAATTTAACAGCATTACATGTCAGAGCATTAGAGAGATTCTCCTCTCTAGAGTTGATATGGTAGCTTTAAAAAAAAATCTAGATTTCTTTTATGTAAAAATAAAAAGCACAGATTTGGGTCAAGTAGCACAAACTAGATTTACTACATCTCCATTTTTGAATGAATATCTCAAAGATATTATAAATATCTAATGCTATCATTTTCATAAGCCCAAGTTGAGATTATGGATTGTATTGAATTAAACTCTTAGCCCAAATTTGTCTTTTTAAATGTATTAAATTGTTCTAAAAATTTATTGTTTAACCTGAATGCACTGATGTATTTTAGACTATATCATGTTGTGCTCACTTCTCTCAACTCCTATAAAAACTTCTTAGCTCTCTCTTAACCACAATAATATAGATATTCTTTGTTTCACATCGTTAAAAGTTATCGTTGCAATATCAAAATATTACTCTAAATCCACTTTGAAAACTTTTTTTTGTATTTTGAATTTGTAATTTTCTTAAAAAACCTAATTAAACGATAACATTTGTCAATGAAATCACCAAAACACAATCCTAATTCAATCTCTCTAAACACTACACACACACACACTCAAATAGACTCTTTAAACGACAACATTCTACTACTCATTTCTTCATTTTTTGTTCCACTTAGTTCCTACATGATTGGTGCCAAACTTTCAACAATCTTTCTTTTTTAAATCATGGTAAAAAATATTTACCTCCATTTAGTAGGTCATAAGCATTTCTATGGAATGTATTAAAATAATTAGTAGATTTTTTATTTTAACCATTCATTTGCTAAACAAACTGTCATACGTATCCACAAACATTTACATAAACTTTATATTATAAGAAAATAAATAAAATTTTGGTAAATTATAATCAAAGAACTCTTAAGCTATAAAATAACACTGCTACTTATTGATCAGCTAGTATATTCTACACATAATCACAATTAAACTGATAGAATATAGACCCCTATTGGCGGTAGCAAAGAAAAATTGTATAGTGGCTGCTTAGCTTTCGCATAGATATTTTGATGTCTACTGAAATAAAGAAATCGAAAGCTTTTATAGGTCATCTCTGATTCTCTGTTGAGTTAGTAATTGATATTGTATCTAATAATCACTCCGATTTGCTTTGATTCCTCTTTTCCCTACCTTCACAAACAGATATACCTTTCTCATTCTTCTCCTTTTGCGGTGGTGATGGTCCATTCTTTCTCTGCAACGTCATCCATTCTGATTTCCCGACACTTGTTCTCCTTCGATTCCTCTTGTTTATGTGCTCTCTCTGCTTCTTCTCTTTTTCTTTGTCATTAATCTCCTCCTCTCTCTCCCTCTCCTACTCACGGCTTGTCTTCTCTTCTCTTTTCTTCCTTCTTTCACGACTCTTTCTCCTCTTTTTTTTTTCTTTCTTATTTCTCCTCTTCTCTATCTCGGCCTCT